GATATCTCTGATATGTAGTTATGTATATTAACCTACTTATGCCAGTGGGAACTGGTGCTTTAACCTCTTCCCATCCACCCTATAGCAGAAATACTGCTACAGGGCGGCATGGGTGCACAGTCATGTATATCCTCTGGAACTCCCTACCACAGCATGTCCGGTCAGCCCCCACCCTGTCTGCCTTTAGGCGATCTTTGAAAACTCACTTCTTCAGGGAAGCCTACCCCACCTCCACCTAAGAACTGTACTTGAATCACCTCCACCAGATCATCCCCCGCAGCTATCACCTTTTGTATAACCTCCACCTTCCTTTAGATTGTGTGCTCCACGAGCAGGGCCCTCCTATTCCTTCTGTACTGAAATGTATTGTAATTGTACTGTCTCCCTTATATTGTAAAGCGCTGAGCAAACTGTTGGCGCTATATAAATCCTGTATAATAATAAAATATATATACGTGATTTTGCAGTTCCGGGTAGGGGGCACGCGACAGTCACGAGCATGCCCTACCTGCGCCACTATTCAAGGCCTCGGCTGTCAATCACCGGGTCCCGGTAATCACCAAGTATTACTGTCAGGGCAGAGAATTATATGTAAACAATACAGTTCTTTCCCATGGCAGCTCCTGCACACTGCTTTGTATGGCTCTGCATAGCAGAGCCCAGTGCCATTAGTACAGTGTCAGTGCTGGGGATGTCAGTTCCCCCCAGTGTCAGAATGCTCACCACAGTCCCATAGTCCCACTATGAGTTGCTGATTGCTGCCATTACTAGTAAAAAAACCAAAAATATTCTAGTATATATATCGCCATTTGTAAACACTATAACTTTCACGTAAACCAATTAATTAATCCCAATTAATGTATTGGGATTTTTTTTTAGCAAAGAAATGTAGCAGAATACATTTTGCCCTATAGTTATGATGAAATTTAATTTTTTTAATTTTTTTATTGGACATGTTTAATAGCAAAAAGTCAAAAATATAATTTTTTTCTCAAAATTGTTGGCATCTTTTTGTTTATAGCGCAAAAAATAAAAATGCACAGGCGATCAAATACCACCGAAGAAAAGCTCTATTTGTGGGAAAAAAAGGATGCAAATTAAATTTGGATGCAGCATTGCATGACCGCCCAATTGTCAGTTAAAGTAATGCAGCACTGAAACGCAAAAAAAATGGCCTGGTCAGGAAGGGGGGTAAATCCTCTAGAGGGCAAGTGGTTAAATGGGCTGTGATGCTCAAGGCTGGTAGGCTGGGCTCTTGATCATGTGGTACTGTGATTGGCTGCACAGTGTGACATCCCATTGGCTCCTGATCATCATTAGCTCACCTGCCCTGCTGTCACATATACTGAATGCCTATTGCTGTTGTGAAAGGGTTAAACAAATTGTATTCTAGGCTCTGTTATACATAACTGCAAGAGACAGATACCAAGTCATTTTTGGTACTCTCACTGCTTGCATAAAAAGAAAATACATAATGTTGGACTAAAAGCTAGGTCCAATTTTCAGACCTTGCTTTACCCACATTTAGGTTCTTATCCCCAACAGTTTTGAATTTGAACAGAGATCTATAAAAGAACAAAGTGCAACTCCTATCTGCCACCACGGCAAAGAGACTGTGGTTCTCAATGTAGCGCAACTGCAGTGATGTGACCAGGGGCGGACTGACCATTTGGAAACTCGGGCACTGCCCGAGGGCCCGCGGTCAGTAGGGGGCCCCATGAGATGCCCCTGGTACCTTTTTTATAGGCTTTTTTGAGTTTGGGCAAGGACACAGGGGCCCCATGATCCCCTATTGCCTGGGGATCCCATGAGTTGTCAGTCCGCCCCTGGATGTGACTACACTTGTAGTCCACTGATACGTCCTCCAGCCTCGTAACTGATGGTCCATACCTTGGCATGGATGTGAGGCTGGGGGAATAGTCTGCAGGATCCAAAGCATTACACCCTTGATCCAATGATTGCGGTTGCAGTGCTTTGCAGGCTGAAAAGCTAAAAATAAAAGAATAAATACAGATGATTAGCCTTCAATGAACAAAGCTGCATTCATTTGTGTCTTTTTCTACTTAGAGATCAGCTACATTTTTCAACAGTTATTCCACAGTATCACCCCCAATGAATTTCAGACAGGAATTTTGCCTTTTCTAACCACATAAAAGCGGGATCAGGCACGCTAGAAAGAAAGGCTACAATATGCACACATGCTATGATGGAAAGCAAAGTTGGCAAGGTGATATTTTCTACAAAGCATGTACATGGTGAAGTGCCTATTAATTAGAAAGAATACAATACCAGTTATTAAAACAGAAATAATTCACACCATGGATCACAAAATGTGCAAAATGCTACATGTGAGTGGGCCTTTGTTTATTCAAAGACATATGGTCACACTGCCAACCTTCATTGATTGTTATATATATTTAACCAGTAACCCATGTTGCAGTAATCATTTTGGAGCAACTAACTGCAAAGTCATTTTTTTTGTGTATTGTTATAGACTTTTGCCCATGCAGGGTTTTTTTTATATACAATGTCAATGGAACACTTCAAATGGATTAAAAATAGTATAATTCATTTTGTTTTGTTTATTTTTAAATTTATACAGACGTACAGTAAATGGAATCTTTTTCTGCATTCCCAGCCATATTTATATTTCGTTCAGGTCACTTCTATGGTGCTTTAATTATGATCACAGGTGTTCGTATGACTGTTCCAAATACATTGCCAAAAGTAAATGTGTACAGTACACAAACTAAGATAATTATAATTTATTTAATGTGTTAGCGCAAAAAAAAAACCTAAACCTATCTTGAACAGGTTTGCACTACATGCATATTTCCCCATGTTTTGTTGCTTAAAACACTCCAAATACAAATAAATCCTCCAAAATCTATTGAGCTCATAACTTCATGTAACTTCAAGTAGTAAGCTGACAACATTGTCTCTGCAACACTAAAATTCCAAGCAGCGGTGTCAGTCCTGCATGTGTTTTTCCCTGCTAGACTAGAGAACACCCCCCTTTAAGCTAGGTTCATATCTATGCAGGTTGCGTTTGAGCCATTTCTGTATTGCGTTTTGCATTGCAAATGCGTTTTGGTTTTTTAAAATTTTGCTGTTGCTAGGCAGATTTAAAATGCAAAATGCATAAAAAAATGCATCAAAAACGCAATACATTCTTTTCTACAGCATTTCCAGCATTAAAGTCTATAAAACCAAAAACTCAACTTTTTGCATTAGAAAAAGTCCCTAACCCTTTCCAATAAACGCACCGGGTGAAAACGCAGACATGTCCTATAGAAAATCATGTTAACGGGCAGCACAGTGGCTAAATGGTTAGCAATTCCACCTGGCAGCACTAGGGTCCTTGGTTCAAATCCCAACCACAGCACCACCTGTCTGGAGTTTGCATGTTCTCCCTGTGCCCGCGTGGACTTCCTCTGGGTACTCCAGTTTCCTCCCAAGACATGCGGGTAGGTAAATTCACTCCTGTCTAAATTGGCCCTAGTATATGAATGTAAGTTAGGCACCTCAGATTGTACACCCCTTGAGGGTTAGGGACTGATGTGAATGTACAATATATATGTAAAGCGCTGCATAAATTGACGGCGCTATATAAGTACCTCTAATAAATAAATAAATGGACTGTACTGCAATTCCACAAAATTGCAGAAAACGCCTAGGTTTGAACCTAGGGTAATATTATAGAGCTGAAAAGAGGAGACTGAGGAAGAAGCTCCCTAGACAAACCTGTTTTGTAAATTATTCTGTTCAGTGTTCTCATTTCATGTTTTCATTTGTCTTTTTGATTTTTTTCTTTTTTATGTGACAGGCTGAATAGACAAATTAAAGGTCTGCTCACTAGACCATGCATTTCAACAATCTTCTTATAAAAGTATATGTACATTTAAAGAATACCTGTAAAACTTCCTTTGTGTAGATGTCCTAAAGCTCTTAGGCTCCGTTCACGCTAATGCGGTTTTTAGTGCTTTTTGCAGAAATGCACTGCAGTCCATTTAACATGGTTTCCTATGGAACATGTTCACATCTATGCTTTTTTGAGCTGCTGCGTTTTGGGAAAGGATCAGGGATTTTTTTAAAAGCAAAAATCAGCATTTTTGCTATAATAGATTTCAATGGAGAATCTGTTGAAATGCATGGTAGTGTGTTTTGCTGCGTATTGAGTTTTGCATTTTTATTCTGGCCAGCAAAAAAAAATTTCACTTTAAAAAAAAAAGCTGAACAAAACGCAAAACGCAGTAAAAACATCAAAAACACTTCAAAAATGCATGTAGAAAAACACAAAACGAACTGCGAAAGGAATTGCAAAATGGACAAAAAGTAAACTGCATAGGTGTGAAAGGGGCTTTAGACTTCTGCTGGGTGCCATAGTCTTGGATGCTATGCTATGTTATGTAGTTATGTATACAGAGGGGTGGAGGAGCTTGGCCAACACAGACAATAATTTGACACTTTCAGAGGAAGCGATAATTTGGAGGTGCAAAAAGGGAGGGTGCGGAGCTAGGGAACTGACTCTTCTTAAAGTAGCCAAAGTTGCTAGCAAGTTCAGAGGCACATTTCAAATCAGAAAAAAAAATGCTGCAAGTAACAAGCTTTTCGAATGTATTTTTCTGTACAGCACCAGTAACATTTGTAAGTTTCTGAGTTTATCCTTATTGTAGATAGCCAAATGGGGTTTATATGTAGCAAATTAGATAGCACACCAAGGTACAGAAGGACTGATTGAAGCAATGCTCAGGTTTGTACTGAGAGGAGCCCTTCTTTAGTTTTTCGTATATTTTTACAATAAACAATGTAATGTTTTTGTGGATTGATTTTGGTGTGTAATCATTTACATACTCTACTAAACCCTATCTTTATTTTTGGCCATAGGACAAAAAGTGAGAAGAATCTTTTAAAGTGTTACTAAACCCAGGTATTAATACCCCTGGGTATTCACTATATCTTGTCTCCCACAGTACACAGAATATGAAAATGCTATTATTTTAGCAAATATAAACTGCTAAGTACATTTTCTTATCAGCAGTTAGAGAGCATTGTGACTTCTATCAGTGTTCAGCAGAGCACTGGATAAAGTTTGTAGGAGGAGTTTTCTTTCTGCTCTAGGAGGATGCAGAAGCCCTGACCTCTGTCTGGAGATTGCTGATCGGTCCTGTGCTGATCACATGCACTCTCCCAAGAACAAAAAAACACCTCCCTAGCAATACACACAAAACTGAGCATGTGCAGAGTGTCTCCACACTATATGTCTTATCAGGTGATAAAAGGGGGCACTGGAAGAAGGAAAGGATCAGGGAAGTCAGGATCAAAACAGCATTTTTACACAGAGGATTAACCCCTTAGGTTCCACAGTGAGTATAACAAGCATGCTTTACTGCATATACAGACTGATTTTACTGTTGTGGGTTTAGTAACACTTTAATCGGGGATGCTGACAACTATTTATTTACATTTTTACTACACTCAGAAAGGGTACACCTCTGTTAAAGTTGTTCTAAAGGCAGGACATTTTTTTCCCTGATGCATTTTCTTCATTGTTAAAATATCTCACACCCCCACACCTCCCTAAATACTCACCTGAGCCCTATCTCGATCCTGCACTGTGCCTGAGTGCAGTAGCTTTGCACTCTTTTCCTTTTCTCAGAAGACTAAGTGAGAGCAGCGGGAGCCATTGTCACCTGCTGCTGTCAATTAAATCTTGTGAGGAGGGAGTCAGGGATGGGGCAGAGATGCTCTGTATGTGTCAATAGACACACACATCCCAGCTCAAGAGCAAGCCTGCAGGTGCCCCGCAATAAGAAGCAACTTCCTATAATGGTCTACCAAGAGAAAGAGCAAACAGTACCAGTGGGGGACCACAGAAGAGGTGGTTTGGGGGCAGTGTGTGCAATACTATTGCACAGAGCACGTAAGTATAACATGTTTATTATTTTAATTAAAAAAAATAAATAAAGCTTTACAATCACATTTTTTTATTGCTGTTTGTATACTAGTATTGGTAGATTTCTCTGTCTGGTTACAGGGAAATCTTTGCACAGAACCAAGAAACTTTCTTTTTGACTGGAATTAGGTTTTAATACATGTTACTGTTATACTTTACATTTTCAGTTTTGATTGGCATTATTGTTATTAATTAATCATTTGTAAACATTTCAAAAAATACATCAATGAACATCACAATATGGCACCGCTTTTGAAATGTATTCTTTCTTGTAAGCATGTCACTATTCTTCCTTTGTTCATCTTTGCATATGTTAATTTGGAAATATTCAGTTAAAGCAGACCTAAACTGTATCTGAGCACACAAACTGAAAACGCTACTCAAAGTGGTTCTTAAGCTTTAGGATTTTTTTACCCTAATGCGTTTTCTGCATTAAAGTAAAAAACCTTCTTCAGGATATCCAGGATCTCCCTCAGCTCCCGCATATACATACTTGAGCAGGATCTCGATCCAGTGCTGTGAAAAGAGCAGCTGCTTTCTCCACTCACTCCCTTCTTACAGGTCAGATTGACAGCAGCGGGAGGCATTGGCTCCTGATGCTGCCCATCAAATCCTACAACAAGTAACTGGGGGCGGGGAAAAGCCGCAATGTCTATGGACAAACACAGAGGGGCTTGGGAGCGAGCCCGCATGAGTGCTCCCCTTAGCAAGCAGCATGCTGGGGGGGGGTACTCTGCAGAGGAGAGGAACCAGGAGAGCCGGCGGGGGACCTCATAAGTGGAGGATCAAGGCTATTCTGTAAAAAAAACATTTCACAGAGCAGGGAAATATAACGTTTGTTATTAAAAAAAATACACGTTTATAATCACTTTATTTCATTTTTAATCCATCAATGTCTCCATGCTTTATTTTGTTGAGAAGTCACTTTGAAAAGCACACCCCTAGCATTTCAAGTGATGATCATCTTGAGTAAGAAAGATGATTGTTGTTGCATTTACTTGGATGGATTAATGGAATCCATCTTCCTCAAGCTCAGGCATGCAGGCATGAGAATGTGCTTAGTGGAAAAAGCCCATCCTCCACCACTCCTGAAGACTCATGGAATGTATGACATAATTTTGGCATAGGTCAGAAACCAAGAAACAAATGAAGAAATGTAAAAAAGTTTTAAACAAGTAAATATAATAAACTCAAATATAATATACCGTCCTATCTATTTACTAATGCTTGAAGCATAAGGATTAAAAATAGTTAATGTTGATTAAGAGGGTTCCTGTTTATACCAAAAACAAGCTTTCCCATAGAGTGTCTTATTTAAGCAACAGCCATAGCTTTCCTTAAAGTGGAGCTCCACCCAAAAGGGGAAGTTCCGCTTTAAGCCTTTGTCACCCACTCCCCATTAAGGATTGGTACCTTTGGGGAGCGGGTACCCAAATTTTACAGGTACCTGCTCCCCACTTCCACTGCAATCATCTAGGCGATTTGATGCGGAAGTTGTCCTCCCTCCCTGTAGTCTTCTGGGACACGTGACAGGTCCCAAAAGACTACGGGGCCATTCACAAAGCACAGCGCTTCTCACGCATGCGCAGCGGGCACCTGGCTGTGAAGCTGCAAGGTGTCATAGCCGGGTGCCCACACTGAAGATTCCGGTGCCAGGGAGTGAAGACGGACAGTGAAACCAGCGGTGGTTTGGGTACGGAGCATGCTGTTAAGTGTTTAAGACCCCAGCATAAAGGCAAATGTATCCAATGTTCGGACAAGTTATTGTATACAGTACATTTTCCATTCACCTCTATGGAGACATAGTCAGTAATTGGAATTACCAGCCATCCATAATTGAACAGACAGTATGTAAATATGGAGGTAAATGAGGGTGTCCATCAATGTGAAAACCAAGTCCATAAAATTGTAGCTTTCACTATCTTCTGGTCTCTGTCATTTATTCTATTGATTTATCTTCTTCTATACAGAAGCCAACAGATATGTAGTAGTCTTATTTATGAGCTACCCCTTTACCAAATTCTTGTGTGACTTGGCCCATTTACTGAATCATTCTTCTAGTTCAAATATGCTCATAATATCAATATGCTTATTCAATGATGGTCTCATGAATTGGCATAATTATCTAACTGTCACATACTATACAGCTGTAACTTATATCATGCCTCTGGTTTATTGTAATCCTTTTTAAAAAAGTTTATGAAAAAAAAAAGAAATTTAGTAAGAGGAAATGAGGACCAGAGAAAACCAAGGATGAACCTTCGATGCCTGCGTGTGGGTGTTCCATAACTGTCACTGATAGTGCTATACTTTACAGCAGAAAATAATTCACAGAGATCAAACTGGTCAAGTTTTTAAAACATTTTCAATTCCTATTTTTCCCCAAGAACCCTTTACAGGTGATGTCTGACCTTTTAATCAAGAGATCATTACCTGAACAAGCTGGATCGTGTAACTGTCAATGTATGACTATGTTATCTTAGTGTTGTTCATGCTATAGCAAGAGGTAAAATAAAATATTGCAGATCAGTACAAGGTTACAAGAGCTGAGATAACAGACATTTCCACTTCTTTTATCTGAGGTTTGCTAATATTTCACTTGACTGCAATCTATCATTATGCTGCTTGTTACAGGAACCGCACTGGGAGGTTCTATGACAATAGGTGAAGATGTTTAAAGGTTTTATAGCAACGCTTTAGTATATCTACACTGACTTGTTAAATGGGCAAAGCTTTCATGATATCATAAAGGATAACCATTACAAACATGACTTCAGTTCAGATAACACAAAATAATAGTAAATGCAGTGCATCATAATGACCTTCTGTTGCGGTATTTAACATCTTCCCATCCGGTCCATGTACATAAACGGTTGGATGGGAACAGTGCAGGAGCAGGTGGTCGTTTATAGCCTGTGCGTGCTCCCACGATCCGGTGCCCGCTGTGTCCGGAGGACACAGCAAAACACCAATCGCTATACGGCACCTCTGTGTGAGGCCCCAATCATGTGATCACTGATTGGCCAATCAGTGATCACATGAATAGTAGTAAACAAGATGTCACTTCCTGACATCATTGCTTACTACTTGTGAAATCTGTGAATAATCACCGAGGTCACAAGGTACAAGGCTACTCACAACAGCCTTGTACCATGTGACAAGCTGTGACCAATCACAGCTCTCACAGTACTTCTCAATGGCTGCAAGAATGCAGTCAGAGAGAAGGAGAAATGATTGCTTTTACAGCCTTTATGAGTGTAAAAGCAATCAGTGTAAAGAAAGAATCTTCATCACCCCCCACAAGTAGTACAGTGTCACTATGGTGACACTGTACAGCTAGGTGACGGTATTTAAAAAATTAAATAAATAATAATATAAAAAAATAAAATAAAAATGTAAAAAAAAAATATTGAAAAATTATAATTGTTGGTTATAAACTAATTTGGGTTATTTTTTTTTACTAATGAGATAACTGAATAAATTTTGGCCAAGATTTATGAAGAAAGAAGAAAGATTATTTATTTGCAAAAATGTATAAGAAAAACAACTTTTTTCACAAATTTCTTTTTCATTTATATAGAAAAAAAAAATAAAAATCCCAGTGGTAAATAAATAGCACCAAAGTAAAATGTTGTCTGTCTCAACAAAATGCTAAAATATTCATATGGGTACAGTGTTGCATGACCGTGCAATTGTCATTCAAAGTGTGATAGCACTGAAAGCTGAAAATTGGCCTGGAGACAGGAAGGGGGTGAAAGTGTCCGGACTTGAAGTGGTTAGGCAGTCTAATATACTGAGTAGAGAAGGGGTGTCAAACTGGAGGCTCTCCGGCTGTTGCAAAACTACAAGTCCCATCAGGCTTCTGCCTTTGAGAGTCATGCTTGTAACTGTCAGTCTTGCAATGCCTCATGGGACTTGTAGTTTCGCAACAGTTGGAGGGCGGCCAGTTTGACACCCGTGGAGTAGAGAATTACAACAATATAGTCAATACTTAAAGTGATTTGTAAATCTTTATTTTTTTTAATTAAAATAATAAACATGGTATACTTACCTGCTCTGTGCAATGGCTTTACACAGAGCAGCTTGGAACATCCTCTTCTTGGGTCCTCTACCAGCGCCTCTTGCCTTCTTCTTCTCTGTGTGCAACCACAGGAAGCTGCTTGCTATGGTGTCACACCTGAAGGCTCGCTCCCTAGCCAAGCTGTGTGTGTCCACTGACACACACAGCATGGCTCTGCCATCCCCCTGGCTCCCTCCTCATGGGATTGGATTGACAGCAGTAGGAGCCAATGGCTCCAGCTGCTGTCTCTGAGTTTTGGGAGAAGAGAGAGCAGCATTACTACTTTCAGGCACAGCACTGGATCAAGAT